GGATTTCAAAGAGATGTACTCACATCAGGGGAACTAGGAGCTCCCTGTGCTAATAGGGGCCTGTGAGAGTTAGAAAAAGAATGGGATGGATCAACGCAGTATGGTAGAGTCTTACAAACACAGCAGCAGTTCTAATGGGAAAATGAGAAACAGCAGAACTGTGTCCCATGCCTGCAAGAAAAGGTGTAGCAGAAGGAAGTGCTACTTAGAGGCATATTGATGCAAGACACAAAATTTGGTCCTCACTGCACTCCAGAGCTTTGAAATCAGCAGCAGCAGCTGCTGAGCCACTGATTCTTCAGTGGAAACAAAAGTGAGGGGATGAGAGAAAACTGTTGCACAAGGGGTGGGAGTCACAGGTTGAAACAACTCCATAGAGAGAGGCGTGGGGGCAGCCATATGACATGTGAAAGACACAGACCCAGACAGAGATGGTGGAAGCGAGGCCTTACTCAGATCAGCATTACATCCGGAACAATGGGTTTCCCAAAGGAAATGAAAATGAAGACATAGGGAGTATACTGAGCAGTGATAAAAGCACCTCAAAGAAGACCTGGTCATTTGGTGGACAGCCTGGCAAATTGCTCAACTTTGCATAAATGCCTGAAATGCTACTCTCTCTCTAAACTCTTCGCATGGGGTCATGGGGGAAGTAATTACCCCAACCTCAGTCATGGTATATACTTTGTGCCAAAATTAACCTCTTGAATCACTCAGTTCTTCCAAATGAGTTAAAGCTTATAAGTTTGTACTCTAAACAACTGGTGTCTGTGAAAATCATTAAATCCCAAATTGTTTCTTCCATTTCCTTTCTTTAGAAACCATTGAATTTTTCCCCTGTCTTTGACAACACTGAGAATGTGGTTCTCAGAAAATAATTTTGTTTGGATCAATTATTCTCAAAGTTGAGGATTAGCTTGTTTCTAAATGTGGAGGTGTGAGGCAGAGCAGTGGGCTTTTGAGCTTCCTGTACTTAGGTGTTGGCTTGTCCTTAAATCAGTTGAATCACTTTGGGCAAGCTTCTTAATTTTCCTACCACAATTTTTTTATATGAAAATGAGAACAACAACACCATATAAAGAGTCAATATAGTTATCGTCAAAGAGTTAAATAGCATAACACTTAGAAAAATGTCTAGAACAGAGTTAGTTACTAGATATTGCTATTATTATTATCTTTTTGTCCTCTTTAATATGTAGGTACCTGAAATAATTTATATAGAAGCAATACAGTTTCTGAGACCTTGAAGGATTGACTCCGGTAAGAGGCAACTCAGCTTATAGCCTCTGAGGCCATCATGACATTGCTTAAATCCCTTCTGACTGGGTCAGAGCAGAACAGGAGGTTAGGGGGAATAAATATTTGGCTTTTGTTTTCCCTTCCTTTATTAGGGCAAGGTAAATTAATCTACCATATTTAATTATGCCCTTCAAATGTGATAATTGGAGGAAAGTTATATCCATATGTAAAACATCCTTTTGTTGATATTTTTTCATTAAAGTATGATAATGTCACGTAGTCTCATTGCAGAACTCCAAATGTCTCTTTGGAGATGTGGCAGGCCATGGTCTAGGATGTCAAATAAGTAGAATGTAAAATAGGGAATGGATTTTCTGCCTTAGAGTGTGGGCTTAGAGTTAATTGAATTAGAGGTTTCTTCCGGTTCATTTCAAACACCTTTGAGGGCAAAATAGAAACTGCCCACCCACGATTCTAGGAGGATACACAAAAGGACAGTGCTCAGAACAAGACCGTCCTGGAAAAATCACTGATTTTCTTCCTGGAGGTGATTGTCCATGTGCTGAATGGTCAAGTTCTGTGGGTATAGGAAATAAAAAGCTAAGGAAGGTTAGTGAATGAATGCGTCTTTTTTGTTCTTGGTATCTCCCTTCCAGTGGGATTCCTAGTGTGTCACTTCTGACGTCTCACTCAACAACCAAAGGTTGTGAGCATGAGGTAAGAAATTGGGAATGTGTCATTCAGAAACATCCTTTTCTATTTCTTTTTGGGACAGAATAGGGCTGCTGCAGGAGCCATTCCAGCTCTGTGTTCTGCCAGAAAGTGAACGGGATCACTATGGCGATCACCCATTGCCTATGACTAAGTAAGAAAGTCTGCTGGGGCCTCAGCTGTGATGCCACGTTACAGGTGGGACTCGAGGGATGGGGACAGGGAATAAAAACTAGAGCACAGGAAAGCCACGTTCCAGCCAGCCTCTAAGGAACTTTCCTGAGAACCACATCCAACAACTTCCATGCCATGTCACTGACAACCCCAGCTACAAGGGAAACCAGGAAATGTACTCTTTTAGCAGAGCCCGGTGACATCCCAAACAAAACTGGGTTTTTATAGAGGACTATGGGAGAATAAATATTGAATAAATAGCTGCAAGTAAGTCTCTGCCAGGGAATCCTTAGTAGAAGCCACTGAGGGAGATGTCGGGAGAGCATTTGCTTTCCTCATATAGTAGAAAAATTGCAGTCTGAAGATCCCCTTGCCCTTTGCTTTTCTAACCTTGAATGTGGATTGATGCCAAGAGGTGAGGTGACCATCTTGCAAAACAAGGTAATGAAAATAGAGTGAAAGGATAGGTGGCAAGGTTTCTGAACTTGTCTTTGTAAAGTCATTGGGCCAACCCTAACAAGTACTTGCCATCAATGACCTTATTATGTGAAAGTCTCGGAAGGGGGGTCAGGGCTCAGAAAGTACCTATTAGGTAAAATGTTCACCACTTGGGGAAGGGGCCACCTGAGACCCAATTCCCACCAATATACATTATGTTCATGTAACAAATATGCAGTTGTACTCCCTGATCCTAAAAGAAGAAGAAAGAAAGAAAAACTCCTATGTGTTAAATCACTTGAGTTACATCTTTTGCTGCCTATAGGCAAACATATTTATAACAGATATAAATCCTAAATATTAATCTTTTGGTTTGAACTTCCTTCTCAGTGTGTGTGTATGTGTGTGTGTGTGTGTGTGTGTCTGTGTGTGTGTGTGTGTGTGTGTGTGTGTGTGTAAGTGCATGATGGTGGAATGTTGTTGAAAAGATGAAAAGATGAGAACAGGTCAGGCTTGGTGGCTCAGCCTGTAATCCCAGCAATGTGGGAGGCTGAGGCGAGTGGATTGCTTGAGCCCGTGGGCTCGAGACCTGCCCGGGCAACTTGGCAAGACCTTGTCTCTACAATAAATCAAAAACTAACCAGGCATGGTAGCACATGCCTGTAGTTCTGGCTACTTGGAAGGCTGAGGCAGAAGGATCGTGGGAGCCCAGCAGGTCGAGGCTGCGGTGGTCGGGAGTGTGTCACTGCACTCCTGTCCAGGCGACAGAGTAAGACTCTCCAACTCAAAAAAAAAAAAAAAAAGAAAGAAAGAAAGAAAGAAAAGATGAGAGCTCTGTCTTATTTTTTTCTTCTCACAGAAATGATAGGAAGTTTATGAGATAACCACCATATAAAAATTTTCCTAAGGATCAAATGGATTCCTAGAATTTGTTTAATCCACTTCCAAGTTTATAGTGTCTACATTTTCTAAAGAAAATATCCTCCTCAGATGTTCTATCACCTCAAAATCCACACACATAACCAGAGAGTTTTTCTTAGCATTTAATCCCATCTTGCTGAATTGGAAGTTATTTCCCCTTTGTCATGGCCTCAGTGACCAGGATGAGCAGATGTTCCAATTCCCTCAAACAAAATTTGATCGCTACTCAATGACTGTAATTAAGTGCCTCTTCGGCTTTCTCTTTTGGATAAATTAATTCAATTCCTTGAAACCTAGACCCTAGAGTACTCACATTTCCACCTTTTTGGTCATCACTGTTGCACTGCTTTGGACTCATTTCAAGGCCAATACATCTTGCTTCTGTAACTTGTCAGATGTAAGGAAGAAATACAAAAATAATGACCTAACAAGTGCCCAGGGTTGGGGGAGGATCATTTCAAGCTCCTTTCGTAATATTCTAACCTTGACAATATTCCTCACCTGTCCACGTTTCTGACAAGACTGGATGTGCCTTATTTGTTTTAGGGAGTTCTGGTTGTATATTAACGTCATCTGGAGAATGTTCAGAACAGGGACTCGGCAGAAGTATTTTATGAAAGTTCCATCTACATCTACTGCATGGCCAGGCTTGAGAACCAGTGAGCCATTGTTTCTGGCTATTCTATTCTTTAAATTTCATCATCTCCTGTGTCTATTTTTTTCCTACTCCATCAATCCTCTCACAAGCCCTTAGGAACTTGCTCTCTAAGGCTTTATTGTTCCCCTGTAAGAAAAACAACAATAACAAAGAAAAAAGAGTTAGATTCCTGCTCTGAGAAGTCTTCTTGCTAGCCCATGTCTATTTTCCTCAAAAGCTAAGTTCTATGGCTTGAATGTTTGTCCCCTCTAAAACTTACGTTGAAATTTAATTGACATTGTAACAGTATTTAGATGTAGGACCTTTAAGAGGTGAGTAAGCCATGAAAGCTGTGCTTTTATCGGTGAGATCAATGCTTTTTTAAAGGGCTAGTTTGTCCTCTTTTCTCTTTGCCTTCTCACCTGTCACCATGTGAAGAGAAAACATTCCTCCCTCCAGAGGACACAATGACTGGAGCACCATCTTGGCATCGGAGTCACCAGTCTGCCAAGTGCCTTGATCTTGGACTTAGCCTCCAAACCGTGAGCCAATAAGTTTTGTTCATTATAAATCACTCAGTGCTATTCTGTCATAGCAGCACAAAATGAACTACACCCACTGAAAAAATATTAGTCTACACCCACTCTTTCTTCATCTCTGATTTATTCCTCAACCCACCTGATTTTTAATATATGTCCCCTGACCCATGCCCAAAACTATTACAGTCATCATGGTGCCAAATCTAAAAACTACTTCTCATTTGTATTTTACTTCACTTCTCTGCACCTGTTGGCATTATTGCCCATACTCCTTCTTCTGAAACTCTATCCTTCTCTTGTTTAAAACATCACAATCAGCCTTCTGCTTCCAGGTTGGAGCCATGGTGGTGGCAAATTCAAGCCCTGTCAACCCGTGGTGTTCTTTGACGTCAGCACTGGTGATCAGAAAATTGGCCACATGAAGATCAAGCTCTTTGCAGACTTTGTGCCTAAGACGGCTGAAAACTTTAGGCAGTTCTGCACTGGAGGATTCAGAAAAGATGGGGTTCCAATAGGATACAAAGGGAGTAACTTCCACAGGGTCATAAAGGATTTCATGATTCAGAGTAGAGATTTTGTTAATGGAGATGGTGCTGGAGTCGCCAGTATTTACCGGGGGCCATTTGCGGATGAAAATTTTAAACTTAGACACTCAGCTCCAGGCTTACTTTCCTTGGCAAACAGTGGTCCTAGCACAAATGGCTGTCAGTTCTTTATCACCTGCTCTAAGTGTGATTGGCTGGACGGGAAGCATGTAGTGTTTGGAAAAATCACTGATGGACTTCTAGCGATGAGAAAGATTGAGAATGTTCCCACAGGCCCCAACAATAAGCCTAAGCTGCCTGTGGTGATCTCACAGTGTGGAGAGATGTAGTCCAGACCAAGACTGAATCACGTAAGTGCATCTTTCTCCTATCTGGCTGGGAGTCAGATCCCAGAGGAGGCAGCCTGGCTTTGTGGAAAGAACTTTAGTCTTGAAGACATGGGATTGAGTCCGTTTCCTCATCTGTCAAATGGAGATATTGTAATGCCTATCTATTAGAGTCATTAAAAGGACCAAAAGAGAATAAATAAATAAATAAATAAAACATCACAATCTACTTACCTGCCAATCTCCTCCATTGCTTTGCTTTGCTCAGCAACATTCAAAATGTTGGTGTACCCAAGGTGTCATCCTAGCCTCCCTCTAAAATTTCTAAACACTTTCTCTGTCTGAGTAATCCTAGCCTCCTTTCCCCCCTCAATCTTCTTGTTGATGTGTTATAAATCTGCACATCTCATTTCCAGTTTCCTGAGTTATAGACCCATGCATTCGACTGCTTTCTGGCATCATAATATCTGACAAATATCTCAAACTTGATACCTACAACACGGAATTGTTTTCCCCCTTCACCCCACCCACTTGCTTCTGTAGTCCCTTGTCTTTGGTTTTCTTGTACTTATTAATGGCACCACGAATTACTCAGAAAACTACATGCTCATCTTTAGCCTTCATTTGTGGATTCCACCCATAATTTAGACACCAAGTCTCTTTAGTTTTACTTATAGAAAAATCTCTTGAATTTTCCCTCCATTGCTCATACGTTTGTCCAAACCCTTAACTCAAAAATTAACGTATGCACTAGCCTCTAACTGGTTTCCTTCATCCTGTCTCACAATTCTATAATCCATTCCCACATAGATGCTGGAATAGCTTCATAAGATAGAAATTTGATTACATTTCAACCCAAATTTAAATACTTCAAATGCCTTTTGTCTCTTATGATAGATAACTTATGTGTTTACGGCTTTTTGGGATTTGGTTTCTTCCTATTTTTATTTTCAACTTCTGCCCTCTCCCAGGCACATTGCAATCCATGGAGTGTTCCAAACAAGTTATGTCATCATATCTTAACATTTATTGTTATTCCATTGCTAAGAATATCACTAACCACCTTTTATCTGATAAGTTCCTCATCTTTTATAGATGGGAAGTTCTATGTGGGATTTCTCCTCTCCATTGTACTCCCAGCCCTCTGCATAGTAACTAAAACATGGTAGGGGCTCAGTGAGTATTTACTGTGTGAAAGCTTTCCTGCCCATCCACCCGCCTCTTCAGGCAGAGTTAGATCTAATAGCTATGGTCTCATAGCAACATGCACATACTGCTATAATAGCATTCATCTCATTAGATTGTAATTATTTGTTTATTTGTTTGAATCCCCTACTGAACTATGAGCACTTTGAAGGAAGAGAATGTGTTGTATTTGCTTTTGTATTCCTACTATTCATCAGAATCTGACATATTGCAGATACTGCAGATTTTTTTGGTGAGTTCATGAATATATTCATAGATGTGGTAAGATGGATGAATTGAATCAAGAACTTAGAAACAAAAGAATGTGTGAGTTTCAAAATGAGATAGGCACCCAAACATTAGACTATTTGTAGCATGTTTACCATGAGGCTTGAGTATATACATATTGGAAAGTGTATACATATTAGAAAGATGTAAATTGTTTATACAAAGAAAATTACAAGATAAATTTCCACTTATGTATAATGAATGTGAAAATATATTTCTGGTATGTTAATAACATATACAATTCAAATCCTTTTAATCTCTTGTTTAGGAACAGAAATAAGTAGTTGTGTGACCCAATTTTGGCATAACTCTATGGAGAAACATTAGAAGATGGTTTCTGGAGTTAGGATCCCAGTGTTTGAATCCTTGCCTTACCACTTAATAGCTTGCAAGACCCGGGGAAATTATTTAATCTGAGCTTCAGTTTTCTCATTTGTATGGCATTGTTATGAAGGTTAAGAGTATACATATAAAGCACTTAGAACAAAGCTAGAAGGAATTAGAACTTAGGTCTCTGATTCATGACAGCAACAACCCATTTCTATGAATCACAAATTGCTTTACCTGTGACGTGAAAGACATGTGGTGTATTGTTATCATTCAGAAATGGCCTCGTAGCCCACATCCTTAAAATAAAAAAAAAAATTACTTTAAAAAAGAAATGGCCTTGGTTTGGAGGATTAAATTTTTTTTCAATAGAATTTACTGGTTTCATAAAAATGCACAACAGTTTATCTACCTTAAGATTATAAGCAGGGAAACTCACACAATTTTAACTGTTCTGCTGGGACGCTGTATTTTTACATCACCATTGATATAAGTGTTCTTACTAGAGATTCAAATGCATTATCCTGTTTTCTGATTGGTCCCTGATTGATAAAACATAAAAAGAGTTTTTTGAATATGGGTTACTGGATTTGTTTTATTTTTATTATAAATAAGTGAAAGAAAAGCAGTCCTGGAACATTAGGATCCTAGAACGCTAGAAATCACCTTAGATACTATATCCTATAATACTTCATTCTATAGACAAGAAAATTGAGAATTTCAGAGGTTAAATAATTTGACCAGGATCACATAACTAGGAGTACAGGGACAGAATGAGTCTCTGGTTTACATAAACAGATGAATTAACCAGCCCCAGTGAGACTTAATTTGTCAGCGTTGCTAATGAGAAGGGGTTGCTTGTTAAAGCTTTCTGGGGAGCTCCTCATTTGCCTTCCTAGAAAGGAAGGCATTCCATTAGTTTAAGTAATGGAGAGTAAGGTGTGTTCTTGGAAAGTACAGAAAGTTTATCATGAGAACATTTTGTAAAGATAGAAGTTTAGGATAATTAATAAGAAATACTAGGCAAAGTGAGATGAAAAGTAAGAATCAGTATATATATAATGCTAGAACTGCTGTGGGCAGGAGGTGGTCTGATGAACATCTCATCCAATTTGGACCAATGGTATCTGAAACAAGAAACTTCGTTCACTCTCTTGGGAGAAAAAAATTCCTTCTTTTCATGGTTTTTTAAGCACTGGAGGATGTAGATTCTGGAATCCTTGCCACTTCAGTGCAGAGCTTCAGACTGAAACCAACATAAAGGAGACCAGACAAGAAATGGAAAAGATCATATCCAGAGATGGCTTTATTTATGTGCCCAGATCAAATTGTACAGACATATCTTCCCCTTGGCTTTTCAGTTATGTGTCAATACATTCTTTTTGTTTAAGCCAGTTTGAGTGAGATTATTCTGTCATTTCTACTAAAGAGTCCCACTGATAGACAAGTTGTAGACATTCACAGGATTTAGCTAGAAAGAGACAAGGAGTATTCTAGTGTACTATCTTTTAAATCCACAATAGATTAACAGAGCCATTTAGAGACTGATCTATCTATTGAAATAGGACATATGATGCTTTGAGCTTTTCATTTTATCTTCCTAAAGTAAGATAGGGCAAAATTTAATGTATTGTGATTTAGTTAAATATTGGTAAATGTTTTCATTTCAATAACTGTGAATGAATTTTGAAAATTAAACATGTTTTATAATTAGAAAGACCTAGGCCACTGCAAATATCTGGTTAATTAATGACCTAGACCAAAGGTTAAAAATGCGTATGTTTGCAAAGGCCAGTAATATAGCATAAAGGAGTAAAGTACGCCTGGAATCAAATAATAAGAAGTGGTTGCAGACTAGGGCAAACTGGAGATAAGAGAGTCAATTAGCATTATCTGGAAATAAAAGCCCAACATTGCCCAATATTTTAATTGTTTTTTCAAGAGAAGGCAAACTTGGATTTTAAGCAAAATTCTCCTGTTTTTAAAGTGTTAGTAATGAGAAAGTTAAAAATGGTCACACTGACAACCAGAACCACAATGTTCTCAAAAGATCACAAACAATGCTCAGAACAGGACATAGATAAGATCACTCCATAACTATGTTTGGAGAAAGACAGAGATAAGGCCACTCTTTGTGACACAAAAATAACTCAACATCCCCCTCTTCTGACTAACATCACCTGTCTCTGAATAGATATTGCTTCTGTAACAATTATACATCGAAACTCACTTAATATTCCCACCTCCTAGATAAAATTCATAAAGACAACCAGTCTTTATTGACCTAGTTTTTTAGCCATCTGAAATCTAGAACTTATCTCTGCTTTCCAATTCCTCCTCATAATTATCAAACACAAGCCAGGCCCCTAAGAGAGAATACACACACACACACACACACACAAACACACACACACACGGGTCCCCAACCCAGTCTCAAATACAGATTAACATTAGCAGTGAGTTTTGATTGCATAGAGACCATAATAAATCAATAGCTTGCAGACTCATATCAAAACCCTATCAGAGAGTGGCAAATGAGTTGATGTGCTTCAGTTGTACAGCTGCACCTGGTGGTGGGCTTTAAGTCAGAATTTGACACTTATTTTAGTCCATGTGTGGCCCCCCACTCATTGTTATTAGAATAGGTGCAATGCCTCTTTTTAAATGGTGATGTATATAATTATTTCATTATATATTACAATGTAATAAAAATAAAGTACACAATAAATGTTATGTATCTGAATTATCTTGAAACCATCTGCCTCCCCCACCTCCTGTTCATGGAGAAATTGTCTTCCATGAAACCAGTCCTGGAAGCCAAGAAGGTTGGGGAACACTGTATATGAATATAGATGTGTGTTTGGGGTTATGTATGCATATTATACATTTATTTATAGCATATATGACAGATTCATATTTCTACATTTATATCTGTTTATCTGTCTCTGTATATATTTCTATATCCTATTGGTTCTGTGGTTCTGTTTCTCTGGGGAGCATTGGCTAACACAGAAACAAAAGGGTAGTGTAATAGAAATGGGCATACTTTCCCATTTTTTATGCTGTCTTGTGTCCATAACCACTTTCTTTCTTCATAAAGGGGGATGGAAAATTACAAAATCCAGTACATGCCACTTAAAGTAAGGGTTGTGATCATTTTTATTCATGCCAGGAGGAAGGACTTTATTCTGCTTGATTTGAGCAAATCCATTATCAGAGTTTT